AAATACATGCTACCTTTATTTTCTGGAGATTATATTATAAAAGCCAATAAGCCACCAAGTATGATTGTTCCACAGTATAATGGCAGTCCCTTTCTCTGTTCAGTATTTTTCTCTAGGCTTGACCTACTATGATTCAGAACGTCTCAACCCACATGCCCCAATTACTACAGCAAAACTCTCCGGGCCAGGAATTTTTTGAGGTTCCTATCTACCTAGCAAAAACAACAGAGAGTGGTACAACAGGAACTGCTGTTTCACAGATTATTGCTCTCCCTGGCAAGACAGGTAAGTTACCTAGGAAAACAACATCACTTCACAGTTTACCATCTTTACCCAGGACCTAACATAGTTTACAAAAAGGAAAAAAAGAAAAACTAAATAAATGAGCATATGAATAAGTCAGCAAATGGCCTTGGATCCATCTTGGGAAAAAATTTCATTTATCTAGAATATGTCAGACATAAAGTATCTCTTGTAGCTACAGATTTTCAACTAGCTTTACCTTGACTACAGAATCAAAGGACTGACTACTTTTTCACAGACACTGTTTTAAGTTTTCTGTACTTCTGATTCCTTCTTTGCTGTGCAATCTGCAGTCTCTGGTAGGATTTTTATATAGCAATTCTACTTGTTCAAGCTGAACCATTTCATTAACTGACCTTGAAATCTTGCCATTCCCTTAATAAGACAGGAAAAATGAACTAGACCAAAAGAAGAGACTAACCGCTGTTGAACCATGACCAACAAGTGCCAAATACGGCAACATTTCTTACTGAAAAGCCTATAAGTGTTCATGCTCTTCCCACTGAGTGGTGGAAGGTCAAGCATTTGCCACTAAAGTATATAAATATACTCTTAGCTACAAGCATTTGCCGTCTTATTTCTACTCTTCAACAAAGTAAAAGGAGAGCATCATTTTTAGAAATAATAATGTTCATCTTATTATGTTTGGCTACGATGCAAGGAAGACAATGAAATTAAATATACCATTGCACTGTACTTATCACAGAAATATTATGACTTGAGTTTCAGAACACATAATCCGATCAACACATTTCTACAGTGTTGGTATGAAAATACTGTCTTTTTTATAAACTGTACTGTTAACAGTAGGAATAACATTGAAGTTTTATGTTATCATAGAATTACAAACTGAATTTGGAAGTATTTATTATAATCAATTGCACACTGCTACTCAATCTCAAGTACCAAACAGTAAACATTTGCCACTCTGAAATAAATTACTAACATTATATGCATTTTTAGAATAAGATATTCTATAGCAGATCCCGAGGGCGGGGATTACAGGTGTGAACCAACATGCCTGGCAAGCGAAAGCACTTTAAAAAAAAGCGATGGACTTTATTCAGACCTACTCCAGAGATGCCTGATATTTGTTCAGGCTCATAAGAGGTAACCTCTAAATACCTGAAATTTAGAATTCTGACTAAATAATAGAAGAGTTATTCATGGTGGGCCTCCAAAACCATCCAATAGTTTATGCTAATCAGGGAATACACAGATGCTGCATTAGTAGAAGACTCATAATGAGGCTGGCCAAGCCACAAAGACCAATCTTGTGATTAGGGGCTGGGGGCTTGTGATACTGCATGATAGCAGTCCAATCCCTGGGGAGGAAAGAAGAGGGTCCAGAAACAGAGTTCAATCTGTTGGGTGAACATACAATCAATTAAGCCTAGGTAATGAAATCCCAATAAAAAATCTGGACAACAGCTTGGTAGACTTCCTTGGTTAGTTCTAAAATTGTACTGCTACACATTGATTCTGGGAGGGTATGTCCCTGAGGGTGAGAAGTCTCTGCCAATGATAGAAGAAGCATCATATCTGGAACTCTCTTCATACCTTACTTTGCTCTATGCTTCTCTTCCTTTCGCTGATTGTATCCTTTTGCTATTTAAAAAAACAAAACATGGGCTGAGTGATTTAGCTCATTGCTTCTGCCACCTGCTTCACAAGCACACGTAACAAGTTCAACCCCCAGTACCAAAAAACAAAACAAAACAAAAAAAAACACCTTAATCATGAGTGGAGCACTTTTCTGAGTTCTCTGAATCATTCTAGTAAATTATCAAACCTGAAGGAGTCTGTGGGACCTTCAAATTTGTGCCAGTTGGTATGGAGTCTGGACAACCCTGGGGAACTCAAAACTTGTGGTTGGTACCACAAGTCTTGGATGATTTAGCAGTCTAAAAGACTGTGCCTTTTGTCTCTGGTTTGGCTAACATGGATAGCGTACTTTTTTCCTTATTTTCCAAACATAATGAATGTGAGATGCAGAACAGCCACCTGTGACAAGCATATATCAGATAGGATTCAGATACTGAAAAAAGTAATTAACTCAGGGATTCAGGCACTTGACCACTGGAAGAGCTAGAAGAACCAAATACTGAAGATACTGGCTTGCAGGCCTGCCACCATAGTTAAGGTCAAGAGGATCAGAAGGCTGGTGTTGCCATGCAGGTTAGGAAACCTCAGGACACTGAAGCCACATTATGATTGAGAATGAAATGTGCAGAGCCAAATGAAAAACTTCACAACTAGTGAAGCTCAACTTGCCAGAAAAAAAGTAGTATGATTTCTGCTTCCCTCCCATCTTTATTGGCAGACAGTAACTCACCACAAGGACTCTAGAAAGAAAAGAATCTTGGAAACATAGTTCTTTGGCTTTCAAGTATCTTGCTTATATTTTATTCAGTGAAAAAAAAAATTTCCTTTTTCCTATTCTCTCTTGAGCCAAGTTTTTTCTGTAAGTTGGATATTCAACACTTTCACGGTGTTTCATATAACTGGTCAAACCTTTATCACATTTATGAATATATATTATCAGGAGTTCATAAATACTATTAAAGAACAATATTCTTTTTTGTTGTTTGTTTGTTTGTTTGTTTGTTTTTGGTATTGGGAATTGAACTCGAGTCCTTGCACTTGCAAGGCAGGCAGCAGAACCACTGAGTTAAATCCTCAGCCGAGGACAATATTCTTTATATCTTTCCTAAACTTTAAAATCTTAAAAGGAATGAATCAACAAAGCCTCTCACTGTCAATGGAAGAAGAGATATAGCAGTGTCTGCTATATCCAAGAACAGTCATCAAAAATGCATAATGTTACTTACATGAAAAAGAGATCTATACATAGTAAACCATGCATGCATGTAATTTTCAGTGACAAAGTCACATAGTGACATTTAAATTGCCAAATGTTTCAAAATGTCCTTCTTTTGAACAAGAACTTATTTCTGAAAGTAGTTGCTTTGTCACTCACTACCACATGCTAATTCTTCCTTGAAGTAATAGCTTACTTTTTAACATATCTTTATATATAACATCTTATAACAATAACCTTTTAAATCATCCACCCATTTTACAAAGGTTAAGTTAAAAGTAGATAACTTATAAATCCACTTAATCTAGCACATGAAAATGCAAGAAAACTGTAATATTCTGAACATGAATATATGAGTGTGGGTACCACCATCATTCCACTCTAAGGGTGCAAAGTTCCACAGGCTCAGGCCACTTCTGAACCACAATACATGTGGCCATCGGACCCAAGGACCACGGCTCAGCAAATACAAGTGTAATTTAACATCTCGTGTGTTTGTTATTTTCAAAATACAAATTGAATTTAGAACATTTTTTCCATATACACCATATCCTACTGTGGAGATCGCTTATCTCTAAACAATGGTAAAAGTTGCACTTTCACCTGAATTTAGTACCAACAGGCATTTGGAAGACAATTTGTGGAAAGAAAACAGGCAAAGAGGGAAACAAAAAAGGAAGAATTATATGAGATAAAAATATTTAAGTTGCTATACTCTGAAGAACAAAGTCATATTATTGAAAATCTCACTTATGAACAGAGAATTTGAAAAACAAAAAGTTACTATTATTTGAAGTTCTATGATTTAGAGTACATTAAGGAGGGAAATGAGACTTAAGAGGAAAAGGCCAACAGTTATCTTTACCTATGGCCTGAAGTGAGCTATTTGGATATAAGCAAAGGAATTTACACTGGAAATGTAAATGTACTTAACAGAATAAAGATCTAGACAACTATCCACATCATTTAGGTGTAAGGTTACATGAGCACAGAAATCCTTTTAATTTCATTTAAAAATTACAATACAGTATGTAAAATTCTAACTATAAAAGTTAAAGGATAAATGTCTAATTGAAACTTAGAAAACACTTGCAAAACAAATACAGTTGTCCCTTGGTATTTGTGGGAGACTATGGTTTCAGACCCCTGGCAGGTACCAAAATCCATATATGTTCAAGTCCTTACATAAAATGTATGTATTTGCCTTTAACCTATGCATACTTCCCATATACTTTTTTGTTTTTAGTACCGGGGATTGAACTCAGGTCCTTGCACTTGCAAGGAAGGCCACCGAACCACTGAGCTAAATCCCCGGCCCTTTCCCATAATCTTTAAACCATCTTAGATTCCTTATAATCCCTAATACAATGTAGATATTATGTAAATAGTTCTAATATTGGGCCAGGGATATAGCTCAGTGGTTCCACCACCTGCTTCACAAGCACAAGGTCCTGAGTTCGATCCCTGGTACAAAAAAAAAATTTAAATAGTTATAATGGTTAGGGAATAATGCTAAGGAAAAGGTTTGGACATGTTCAGAACAGAAGCAGCTTTTTTGAAGTATTTTCAACACGCAGTTTGTTGAGTGCACTAATGCAAACCAGAGCTCAGGATACAGAGGGCCAAGTGTATATTCCAATTTGGCAAACAAATTATAAAGACATGAATGAAAAAATGAAACAGCATAAAATGTTCAAAGATAATTACAGACATTGTTTACTATTATCCAACAAGTGCTCAAAACAAGGCAAAGTATTAAGTACATGATACCAATATACATTTTAAACAGGTTCAACATATTTACAACTTATGGGAGCGACGAAAAACAGTATTTAATATTTTACCTCACATGAAATAATATCAAAAATGCTTTTACCTTTGTGATAAGAATTCGGTATCTATCCAGCATTGCCTGGTTGTCATGGCAGCCTGCTAACAACTGCCACACTTCTGCCCTCAGCGCTTCAGGTACACCACTCTTTACCAAGGTAGATAGCCCTTTTGGTCGTGCACCAAGGTTACTGTGCCTGAGGAAAGAAGAAAACAAACCATTCATATTCCCTTTACCACTTTAAACACCTCCCTGTTGAGACATAAAGCATATCTATTAGTTTATATAAAAGTATAATCTTGGATCAAAGACAAACATGACAGGGGGCATGAAACAATAGTTCTTAAGCTTTTTAATGATGTCTTTGACTTATTTTTTTCTTGTTTCATCTTTTTTATTGGTGAGCTATCATTCTAACTTAATGAAAAAAAAGTCTTCCTTTCATTTACTCTGTGTGTGTGTGTGTGTGTGTGTGTGTGTGTGTGTGTGTGTGTGTAAAACCAGGGATAGAACTCAGGACCTTGCACTTGCCAAGCAGGTGCTGGTGCTACTGAGATAAACTGACAGCCCCCTTTCATTTACTTTTAAAAATGATCCTATGAACTTATTTATATTAACAAGTATGTTCATATATCTATGTGCATAAAAAGAACTGAGTCTTCTGAGATCAATGTATGGCAGGCAGGCTAGTGTATGTAGTAGGAGATGACTGCAGGACAAAAGGCTGATAGAGCCATCACAACTACAGGGCACCCCATTCTCAGGCTGAGTTGCATGAAGTGCAAAAAGAGGCTCTACACTCACGTTTTTTAAAGGTGTTAAATCATACAGTTTCTATCTCCTAATTAATTTTGGTTCAAGCCCATCAGTATTATCAGTTTAGCTTTTATAATTCAACAATACAAAAATTTAGCTAGATGATGGGTATAACTGTGAATCTCTTTAAAGTCCATGAACGTCTATCTACCTCAGACCTCTGTAATAACCCATTCATCTTAGTGCAATATACTTCCAACATCGCAGGCACAAAGAGATCAATCACCTTGATTAAAATATTCTGTTGGCTCACAGTTTGTGTAATGATTTACCTAATCTTTTGAAAGTCAAAGTCATACACATGTATACACTCGTATATACAAATGCATATACCTATCCTTTTCAAATTAATAGTCAACAGCCCTCAATAAATATTTTATTTTATATAATTCAACTTAATTGACATTCTGTCTTATCAAATCCTCAGCCATTTGTCTGGCCAGGAATAATGAAAATGTCTTTTCAGTATTCTTAAAAACCTGGACACTATTTATCTTTATACACTGAATTTAAAAAGAACAGGGTCCATTTTCCTACAATGGAGGCACCTTGAGAAATAAATCAAGCATAAACGTGGCATGCTTTCCCTTATATGAGAAAGTATGTATAAATTAAAGAACAAAAATAAAAGATAATAGAAAATTAGAAGAAGACAAATCACTTGGCAAATGGAAAGAGGATGCAGAGATGGGGGAAAGGGAAGACAGGGATGTAAAAAAAAGACATATTATGTACATGTACCAACTGCCCACAATGAATATAATCATTATGCCCTGCAAACATGTAGTCATAAATTTTTTTTAATTTTAAAAACAATTTTAATTTCAAACAGTTTTAATTTTAAAAACAACTGACTCACAATACTGTTGGTAAACACAATTTATCGACTATCCCGAAACACTTCATCAATTATATTGCATACAACACTGGATTACCTCAGAGGTTCTAATGCAGAGATATTAACTCAAATGCTACAAGTACACATCTATGACAACAGAAGACACAAAGAGCAATTTATTAAAATAATCATTTGCTTTCAATATTTTTATTAAAATATAACTACACATGGCCATTGCTTTGACAGACTGCGGGTATCAGGAACTGCAAAGCAGTCAACTAGTTATGACATGTGCCAAACCTCATGCTAGAAACAAAATAAATACCTACTTTAAAAGTAACTCATAAGCTATTGTGAAATATGCGCACCCATGTTTACAGCGGCACAGTTTGTAAGGTAAAACTTGGAAACAGCCCATCTGCCCATCAATTGGAAACTGGATAAAGAAGATCTGGTTTTTCTATAAAATGAAATACTACCCAGCCATAAAGAATGAGAAAGTAGATTCATTCATACTTAAATGGGTACATTTTGAGGATATACTTCTAAGTGAAATAAATAAGGCACACATATGCAAATACCAAATAGTATCTCGGGTGTGAAAAACTAAAATAGTACTCAAGATCCTAATGGGACAATTAGCAAATAGAAAGAAAAGGACCAAAGATGTAGGGACAGTGAGAAGAATAGGGAAGAGGGAATAAGGGAAAAGGAAAAAAATATGAGAAAATGTAAAAATGGAATTAAAGTGTTTGAAGGGGGGGAGGGGAGAGGAGGGTAGAGGGTGAAGAGGGGGGGGACAAGGGGAAAAAATGAGAACCAAAACCTGGCGTGTAAAGGTACAAGATCTCAGTAATGAATGTAACTGTACTGTCTACAGAGAATGTACCAATTAAATTTTAAAAAAACTCATAAGCAAATATTTTCCCACTGTACAGTGATCAACTGGTTTCTAAAAGTATGAATATAAACACCACAAGGGCAAGATTCTATGTCTTCTTTACTTAGGTATTCTAAATACCTAAAATAGTACTTAGTACACAGAAGGCATTTAATACAATTTTGATAAAGGAATATATTTATAAAACAAAATTAACCTTTTTTAACAAAAGGTTACAAATAAATTGAAAACTGTAGCAACATTTGTATTAGATGTTAAATGCATTCAAAATGCCAGTTCTGGTTATTTAAATATTAAATTATTAAGGAACTTATGGAATTATACAGTGTAATTTCTGGATAACTGCTTCTGATCTTGAAAATATATGGCAAACTATTGAAAAATTTAATAACAAGATAGCACTGACCTAGAATACTTGGCATAAACATCAACTTCTAGAGCAGGAATTATTTTAATTTTTATTAGCACATATTTGAAGAACAGAATGGTGCCATTCATCGTGGGGCGATGGTGCACGGATACAACAGCTTAATGCTTTTTATGACCCTTCTTCCTCTCTCCCTCCCCTCCCCTGAAGTTCTCCCATCAGAAATGTTCATTCTTCCTTTCATTCACTTGGGGTTTTTTTTTCATGACTTATTTCTTCACTATAGATTAACTGTAATCACTTATAAAAAGCCTCCATTACTAGACTTTAGTCTGTTCTCTGTTTTTTCTATATTATCCTATTTCTCTATTTTAAAGTATTAGGTGTTTTTCCTTTATATCTTTCTTATCACATATTTCGCTATGTGAATTCTGACTTTATAAAGATTTTAACAGACTTATCTAGTTATTTAACAATAGATTTCAAGATATTTTGCTAGATTTTATTTAAAAGTTCGCTAAGAATACAGTATTTCCTCACTTAAAAGAAACATTTTCTCAAGGCACAAAGTGTAGGGCTCTACACAACTGATGCTTTACCCTAATAAATCACCCCAAAAAATCTTGACACAACATTTAACTATTATTTTAAGACTTCAAAAATTCCTGAACCCAAGGAAGACTAATGTTTTAAAAAGAAATTTTAAGGGCAATTTTTAAATTTTGCCAATTCTTGTGTAATATAAACTTGTGTAACATAAGTGAATCTACTCATATTTTACAGAAAAAAAATTAACAAAATGGTCAAGAAATCCAGCACTTCAGTGTTTCAAGTATTTTATTAAATTATCTGTTATAAGTAGGCATTCTATACACTTTGATTATTAAGTTCAAAGGTAAGCACTATGTAATTGTCTATGTATCTCCACATTGCTTCAGAAATTTATGTTGAATCAAGTTATTAATATTCTATCTTATAAATTAAGAGAAATTTTTATTTATAAAAATATTCTGTTGGTCCATTATCCTTTTTTTGGGGGGGTACTGGGAATCGAACTCAGGTCTTTGCGCTTACAAGGCAGGCAGTGGCACCACTGAGCTAAATCCCCAGACCGGTCCACATTCCTTATGATCTCTTTACCGTTACTAGATGATTTAAGCACTGCCTGGTCATAGTGTCAATTTCCTCACCTACTCACCTTCCCACTAGTACTCCTACATGAATAAATTCAGCAACCTACCTGTCTACTTTATTAAAAGAGTTCTAGCTCCTCAACCAGATACTGTCTACATTCAAATACTGACTGCCAATCACTTACCATATGGTCATGGGCAACTTACTAATTGTGGGACCTTAAGTTACCTACTTGCTATCATTATTTGTTATATATATTTATCCTGGCTATGCCTCAATTTTCACCTCTCTAAACTGAAGATAATATGGTATTTCAGTGTTGTGACAACTGAATTAACTGACGTGTACAGTACTTATGAAAACACCTGGCACATAGTAAGAACTCCCAAATGCCAGCTATTACTTTCGCAGCCATGCCTCACCTTTTCCCATTATAATGAGCTGTGCTCCTAAGCTGAATCCAGTGGAATTCTCAGGCTTCATGTGGCTTTTATCACTTGATGGTTTCCTCCTTGATAAACATAGTTTACTTGATTTCTAATTTGGTTCACTTTCTATCTCACTGGTATTGCTTTACTGGACTCCTCTGCATGATCTTCCTCATCTTTCCAACCTCCAAACATTGGGGTGGTCAAAGGATCAGCCCCGCAATGACTTCTTTATCTAGACTCACTCCCCAAGAAATCTCACCTTTAATAACTACATATACATACTTATATATAGTTATTGAAGGCTATTAAATATATATTTATATATAATATATATGGCTTCCAAAGTCATATTTCCTTCCTTGTATTTCTTTTGAATACATTCTTATATGCAATCAACTAATAAGCACATTCACTAATGTCTAGAAGACATTTCATCATCAAAATCTTTATTTTTATCATGCAAATTTGTGCTTCCTCTCCTCTCATATTTGAGTAAATAGCAAGTATTCTTGAAGTTTAAGACAAAAATCTGAACAATTATCAGTTATTTCTTTTTCTCAGTACACACAGGAAATATAAACTATCAGCTCTGTCTCAAAATATATTGATTACATGTCACGTTCTGCTACCAGCCTAGGGCAAGAAAACATCTCTCCCATGGATTATTTTCAATTACATTCTAGCTATTCTGTCTGTTTCCAACCTTTCC